ACATAGCATTGACATTTGTGGCAGGCACATCACATTTCATATTGAGTATAAATTATACTTTATACTTTTGTTGAAATAATCCTTCATTAAGTAATGTTGTTGAGGGAAGAGAGATGCTATTCAGACACTTCTAACTCAAGTGAAGGAAAAATATTGTCCTTAACAATTGACCAACTGCAGGCAAGATATAGATTAAATCCTGGTCTCCTGACTCCTCACCCAGTATTCTTGTGTCCACATCCCGCTGTTTCCTCTGAGTACTAGAAAATACAATTTCAAATTATTAATTATCTATCTGCAGGATGCTACCAAACCAACATGCCCTACTTTCTTATAGCTGCTACCTTGGCGATCCTTCTAAAACACCTTCTCATCCTAAAAGCACTTATCTAACTTCATACAGCCACACATTCATTCAAAATTTATCCTATAAAAGATTTTGTGACATTGCCAAGATGACTGTCAGTTATTCAATTAAAAAAAACTTTTAAGTGCTTTTTATAAACAACATCAAAATTAAATTAACATGATATCATCTTCCATTCTGAGTAGAATTCCATCCCAAAGAGAGCCTTGTGACATAAAGTTAACACCTGACTTTATACCAAAGTCCCTGTTTTATGGTTGATTTTTTGTTATGGACTTCTGAGATGTTAAACGTAGTGTGACATGTTACTACCTGTTTTGATAATCCCTCTTAGCTAGAGGGATTTTCACTGTCTTGAGAAAAAAGTGACTTTCTTCCCTAAATGCAGGAGATACCATCTTGCTGAGGCCCCTTATAAGTAGGTCAAATAGACTTTTGTGCATAGCACAAACATAATTATAATGATTAAGAATTAACATAGATCTGTTTCTGTCCTTGTGAAGCCTACAGGCTTGTGTATTAAGAATATACAAGTTTAAGATTAGTAAATGACTATAAAACAAAATTAGAGAAACAAATACTGTATAGTTCTCCAATATCATCTTACCAACCATTAGGTGAGCCGTGATCTAGTCAAGTGGAAGAGTTCTTGGGTCCAAGTTCACTGAGCAGAGTCTGTTGTAAAAACCTACTGCTTCTGGATGCAAAGTTCCCCATGAGCTTCCTGCTCCATTGAATGTTCGCTGTGCAGATAGCCACTTGGGACAAATAACTCAGCTTCCATGGGGAGTTCTTTCTGTCAGTCTCAAAATTAAAAATTATTCATATCAACCACCTCTCACAATAAAAGAGGTCAATATTTTGTCTACTAACTAAGCACAATTTACAGATAAAAACTAAAGCTTAGTCGCTTCCTTGATGTATAACCGCTATTGAATGCCCTACCATGACAACATTTGGATACATTTTCTTGTCTTTTTCTACCAGAACAATTTCATCAAATACCTTGTGTTTGTCATGATAAAGCCCTTGATGTTGCATAGAGTTGGGAATAAAATAAATAACCACCATAACGCCACAATCATTTAGTAAAAAAGTATAATGATTCAATCTAAAATTAAGGATACGTGATGGAAATGAAAGATTTTATGATGCAAAATTTCTTGAGGAGTGCTGTGAAGTACCATTTGCTGGTTGTAAACTCCTAATTACATTTTCTCAAAAGTGCATTGAATTTGATTACTTCTGTGTTCTGATTGTAAAGGCTGTCTAAAGTCATATTTTACTGGACTGTAAATTGTTCTGACTGCATTTCATCCATGATAAAAGCTTCACATTTATGGTAGAAAATGCAAGCATAACTAATCTTTTAAATTTTCTGAAACAGAGAAGTTTTGAATGTTTCCCCCTAGAAAACAATGTGAATAAAAATGTCTTATTGTTCTTTAAAAATAGGCTGGGATAATTAGGGATCTTAATCAAGTGGCTTTGAAGTTAGTTTTGGTATATATTAATATACTATAGTTTGGAAATAGTGTATTTAATCTAATTTGCAAAATAGTATCAAGTGTGCATGTTTATGTGTATCTACTAATGTTATCTAAGTGAATATTTGCATTTCAAGAGCCTCACTTAGTTTAATCTACTAGAGGCAGTGTAATTGCACTCACTGCATTGTAGACACTGAAAAATGCTTTCTGATTTGTCTTAACCATCCCATCGATAACAATATCTACCACATGGGCAAAATTGGCTTAACTATTCTTAATGAGAGGCAGGCAGATCTATTTGAAAGGCCACGAGCTTCAGAGTGGAACATCTGTATTCAATTTTCTTCTCCAAGTCTTCTGAACTTTGCAATCTTCCTGTAGGTAAATTATCTTGAAAGCAGGCTCTGAGACAAAGATTTTCATGCAGAAAGTATATAGGAAAGTGTATTTGGGATCCGTATGCGTATGTGTCTAAATAAAGGGGTCTGGTGTTTGTACCCTTGTAGTAAGCATTCATGATTATCAGCTACTTTAGCGAGTGTAAATAACCTTGTTTGAAGATGTTCCCTCAGGTGGAAGAAGGCAAATTGCTGGAGAAGCAGGGCTTGGCAGTGAGGGAGTAAGCTGTCAGCATCCAGCTCTCTGGGGGTGTGAGGAGGTCAGTGCGTTTCAAGACGGGGGAACCTGGGTGTTTTTCTGCAGAACCTACTTGCCTCATATAGTAAGTGAATCCCATGTGAGAGGGTTCGTGGGAAACAGCTCCTGCCTCCGCAGCTCATCTCAAGGTCAGTCCTAAAAGTGACTCTTCTCTTACGCTATTCACTCGTGTTCTACCAATTTTGGACATATCTTATGCCCCTTTGGGACCTCACCTGAGTGTTGTGGCTTATCTTGCATTGTGAAATCAATTCTTACTAATGGGTCTGAGGTCTTCTTCAATATTCCCTTCCTAGGCAATTTTATTTTTTTTTTCCCATTTGCTTTCTAAAATAGATAGGAAAGTACTTAGAAATCCTGAGTAATGTGATAATATATCTTAAAAATTAATAAGGGGCCAGCAGGGTGGTGTAGCACACTAATTCTCCCTGAATAGCATTGGTGTCCCCTATGGACTTGAATTTATGTCTGGGTAACTCCACTTCCAACCCAGCCTCCCCTCCCACCTCTCTGCTTATGACCTGGGATAACAGTGGAGGATGCCTCAGGTCCTTGGGTCCCTGTACTCATGTGGGGTATACAAAGAAAGCTCCTGGCTCCTGACTTCGGATCACTCAGCGCCAGGCCGTTGTAACAATTTGGGCAGTGAACTGGCTCATGGAGGAAAATGCAATGTCCTGAAGTTATCTCCCCAAGGATGGAAAAGAAACTCAGCTAATGGCAAATGAAACAAAAATGGAAAGAACAAAATCTAGAAATTAGTGAATGTTTAGAAAGTTATGTTCTAGCCATGGGTTTATCATTTTAGGCAGCTTTGGAACTTCCAAGATCTAGTTTTAGTCCTTCTCTCAGCCTAAAAAGTTCCTTCAACCTACCACCCTCACACATACTTCTTGTAAACCTTAGAACACTCTCTCTCCCTTCAATAGCGTATTTGTTTCACGTGAGCCATTCAGTAACTGGAGTGAAAATATCCTGTGTTGCAGTTGCAGTGAGGTTTAAAAATTGTATGTAAGAGCTTCTATATGGTATTGCTCAACTACTATTTATTCATATTTAAGCAAGCATAAATAAATCACTTTGGAGGCCAGGAGACAGGTCCTGTATTAGGGGCAGTGCGTGTAGAAGTCCAGCAGAGGAGAGCAGGCAGGTGAAACGAGTTAGTGTAGATTTGCACTCTCGGCTGCCTAGGATTTACCCTAATGAGATAGTAGCTGGTCCTGAGTTTTGTTTGGTTTTGTTACTTTGTAAGATAATACAACTTTTGCCTCTGTTTTTTGAGTTTCTTTTTGATTTTTGCACTTTTAAATATTTGGTTTCTTATCTTAAACAAGCACACACACTGTAAACATTTCAAACACATACACGTTATTGGAGAAGTTCCTTTCTCAAAATATTGCTGAATAGTAATTTAAGTGCTAGATATCTACTCATAGGTTTTTGTACACTATGACATTGCATGTATATAAAATACAAACAAAAGCGGGTAAATTTCGTATGTGCTGATGTATTGTGCAACCTGGACCTTTACTTTATGGTACTCTACAAAAACCTCAGGTTTTCACTCTATAAAATTAGAATAACAATGTTACTGGCCTCATAAGTTTGTTGTGTAAATTAAGTGATAATTCTGTGTAATTACCATGTAAGTGTGTGTGCTAAACATGTATTCATAACGCCACCCTGTGCCATGTCTGACATATGGCAAGTATTAGCTTCTATTATTTATTACTTACTGCTTAAATGCATATCTGAGATCCCAATAGGATGCTTTATTTCAGTGTTTTTTTCTCTCACCTTCTCATTTTTCAAAGAGAACAATGACTAGAAAACATTGGTTGGGTAAATAGTGCATTATCATAATTACAATTTCCCTGAGAAAAGTGGCTTGCTATTTGAATATTCAGCATCATAATTACAATTTCCATATGGGATGTAGAACAATTATTATAAACAACACAATAATCACTTGGTTCATAAGGGAGAAAAGATTATTAGGGAAGAAGAAAGAAGAGAAGCAAAACCTGAGTTTGGATCAGCATTCAGGTATAGAAACATAGAACTTGAGAATAAATTGTAATAGCCCCTTAAAAATATTCTTGCCTTAATTCATGGAAAGTCTTGCAGGTTGACATATGCCCATGTGAAGATTAAGTACTGCCTATGTAATTTTTTTCCTTTTACATAATTTAGTTGTATCTTCTTCATTAAACATACATTCTATATCTCTATTCATTGTCATAACTTCTGTGCCTATAAGAAATTAGAAAAGGCATATTATCACAAAATATAGAAATTACAAAACATTTTAAAGCAGGGTGGTTATTGGAAGGTTTCATCATGCATTTTTGTCTGCACGGTGAAATGTTTTGCTTTTGTTCAAAGGAAAATGGGTAAACGTTTAAGATAAAGAAAATACCCCTTTTATCATTGTGTTGTTTTAATTGACTTAAATTGGCTTTTTGTGTGTCTTTTTATTTTTTTAGGTGAAGAGAAAAAAACAGGATGCAGCTTTCAAGGTAAGTATTTTCTGTGATGTTTTGAAATATGATGTAGTGTGGAACACATGAAAGAAAAAGAGCAAAAGCATCCCTACCTTTTCACAGAAAGAGATTATAGGTCTTTATGTTGTTATTGTCCTAAAATGTGGGTGGAAACATGCAACATAGACTATGGAAGAGTGAAGTATCATAATCAGATTAGAATAGCACATTCTATCCTTAAAAAATTGTGAAGTTGGAAATATGTAATATTTTCTACTTTATCCATTCACCAATCCTTCATTCTATCCATCTACCACATCAAGACATAAATATGCTTTTTTAAATGTGCGCTCGTTTCACACATATTGTGTATCTGAGCCTGTTATCTAGTTTTACTCTAATTGTTTGATGAATATTCCTCCCTTTTGTCAATGCTTGCTACTATCCCTGACAGTAAGTTTCACTGTTACTGAATGTCTCAAATATAACACTGCATCTTGTAAATGAAAAGGAAGGGCCGGTGCTGTGCTGTAGTGATTTGAGCCACCTTGCGCATTGCAGTGTGATAATAAGAAGTTACCTCGCTTCTCGCCTAAAGATGGACTGATGTTTGTCACAATTGTGTGGAATATGAGAGTGTCTACTGATATATGATTGTAAGGATTAGTAATCCATGTAGCCAGTTAGCCTTTTTGACACCTTGGAGTATAGATTTTAGTTCCCGCACGTAAGGCTTTTTGAATAAGAAGAGGTGTGTTCTTACTATAAATTTTTTAACTATTAATTCATTTTATTTTTGATAATGATTACATTGTTGAATGATGTATCCCAAGCCTAAATGCATCAGTACCTGGGGGTGGGGGCACCAATGATATCATCCCAGACTCCCTGATGTGGAGCATGTTTTGAGAGTACTGCTTAAGTGGTTTCAGTAGTTCTGAAATGTTATTGATTTCATTGCTCCAAAGCTGAGGAAATATTTTCAACACCCATTAGCTGACATAGTCCACCCTAGCATCTCCACTCGCCTACTTACTTGCTGTCAAAGCTTGGCTGGGAGAGTTGTCCAATTTGTTCTTCCATCCAAGGTATTTGAGGTCCTTTGCAGGCCTCAGTGAGCTGTCCTGCCCCCATGTGCATATGATAAAATTTAAAACAAAAAGCACGTCAGCCAGTAAGGTCTTAGATCAGGTATATATAGAATGAGTCTTTGTAATAATGACAGTGGGGGCTTGAGTTAAACCATGGCAAGGTTAGTAAATTAAGCTTAACAACAGAATATGCATTAAACTAATTTAAAATGAAAAATATTGAATTGTTTTGACTTTAGGAACTGTTTTATTTTCAATAACGTTAATATAAAGAATCTTACTATTTCATTACAATCTTGGATCCCCTAACCCATTTTTTTGAAATCTAAGATTTTGAAGTCCTCAATAGAAAAATGTTCCTAGAAACAAAGTTATCATAAGTAGGATTTATCTTCTTCATTTTCATTGTTTATTTTTCTTGATAACAGAAGTATTGTATCACAACATGAGGAATTCATGACAATGATTATATTATGGGGAGGGAAGGGTATATGGTTTACATGGTTTGGATCAATTAAGCAATATTCATAACCATATACCAAATAATATGGCATCTACACAGTTATTATACTCTATATTACTTTTGATGAGTAAGAGAAAACATGAGATCTGTCTTTCAGAGACTGGTATAATTCACTTAGCATGATCTCCACTCCTACCCATTTTGTTGTAAATGTCGATTTTGTTCTTTGTCATGGCTGATAGTCCATCATGTGTATATATATACATACATATATATACCACATGTTTTTAATCTAATCATCAGTAGATAGACATGGCATTTCATTCCATATTTTTGTTACTGTAAGTTACAGGTAACTTTAATTGGCTTACTTCCTTTCCACTGAATGTATTTGCTGATGTGTGATAGCTGAGTCACGTGATCGGTCTAGTTTTCTGAGAAATCCCCTTACTGATTTACATAATGGTACACCAATTTGTATTTCTCCGTCAGTTATCAGGGTGCCACCTTCTCTACAACCTTGCTAGCATTTGTCATTTTTAAAAAGTCTTCAGAAAAAAGCCATTCTAAGAGCAGGGAAATGATGCATTTCATGGTGTATTGCTGTGTGTGTGTTTTAGATGTTTGCTCATTTATTTGTTTGAAGGGTTGTTTCGTATAGCAGTGGCAAGAGTGGGCATCCTTGTGTGATTCTGTATCTTACACTTGAACCTAGCCACCAAAACAAGCAATGATCTGGTTGTGCACTTCAGTGTAAACACTTTTAACTTTTCTCCATGCAAGAGGATGCTGGTTGTGGTTTTTCATGTATTGCCTTGATTGTCTTGAAGAATGTGTTTCTATACCAGAGTTGCTTAAGGTTTTTTCTTTAATCATAAAAAAATGTTGTATTTATCAAATGCACTGTCTAGATTAGAGATACATGTTTTTCATTCTATAATTTTAATATCACCTTTTTGGTTGATATATGTTGAGCTATGTTGCATACAAGGAATAAATCCCACATGTGCTTTACAATGCAATACCAGCACATTACAGTATTCCTTTTGAGGAGTCATATTGCTTTTCCTATTCATGATTCTTATGATTTTACATTGATTTTTGTATATCTGAGGGTTGCCTTCTTTATGTCTTTTCTGTTTATTTTTTTCAGTGTTGTTGTTTGTTTATTCCTGGAGCTGTACCCCTAGGTATTGGTTTGCTAGAGAATGTTCTGTATTTCTTGTTAGAGTTTCAGGCATATTCTAGGTAACCCATATTGTATTAGACTCAGCATAAAGAGATCTATTTTGTATTCTGGATGATGAAGTTTTGCTGGGCCAAGTACAGTGCCTACGGACTGACCTTCAGGACTGTGTACTAGAGCTATACTCTGTGAATTGGGGCAAGAATCTAGAGTGACACTAGAGACGCCTGTGGCGGAGCATCTCTGGCTTTATTTAGTAAAGGGGAAGTTGGAGCCCATTCATGTGTTTGCGCTCCTACCTTTTCCTTGAGGCCCAGCTCAAAGTAAACTTCTGGTGCCATCACAAATGTGTGCCCTATCCAAAGCATTCACTATGCAGTGTACCCTCAGATTCCACTGTGAGTGGTACTCAGTGTGCAGGGAACTGAGTTCTCACAGTCAGACTGGGAAAGTCTGAGAACTTAACTGCAAACTGTGACTTTGTTTTTCAAGTACTTGGGGGAGGGAGGCTGCAGCCTACCCAGATCCCTGCTTGCACTGTATGCCAAGCAGGATAGGGTGCTGGTGCTGGGCTGTAGGGATACAGCTGCCTTGCTAAGCTCAACTTGATGCATAGGGCTCAGTCTTCTCTGCTAAAATTCAAGAATGTTTTGGAGACCTCTGGAAAAATGACAGGCCAGAGTCTGCTGTGGATGGCCCCTCTCAAGATGCACCTTCATGCTGTGATTGCTGCTCTCAGGGGAGGAAAGTCCAGGAGGCCTGAATTTCTCAGAGTTGCCTGGCTGTGGCATCTAAACAGGGAGGATCACCTAAGAGCTATGTCTGTGCAAGTGGGCTCTGCCTACACTCTCTTACTCACCCTCTCTGCAGGAACAGGATGTTCAGACCAGCCCCTCAGGGACCACACCAAGATTGTCCTAGTTTCTTTTTCTCCATTATCCAAGTCACTGTGCCTGTTATGGACAGACATACCACAGTATGACTCTTTCTCTCCTACTTCTCCTGGTACTCTGCCTGCAGCACTAGTCTCAAAATGCCACTGCTTGGGAGTATGTTGCTAGAAGAGGAGGCAAACACTACATTTTACTCCATCACTATCTTTAATGCTCTCTGCTTTATTTTCTTAACTTAAAGCTTTGATGTCTATTTCCAGGATGACGGAAATAAGTAAGTTGCACCAGTGCTGAGAGGAGAAGAGGCTAAAGGCAAGAGGAGGAAAATGTAGTTATGATGTGGTGGAAAGCAAAGGAAAAATTGGTGGCAACGTTCAGATCTGATTCATATGGAATTCAGCATTGTCTAGGCCACTGCCAGTAGGAAGTGTCTTCATTCCTAGAAATTTGAGACAGATACAAGGTCATAGGTGGGTCAGAGACAGGAGACCTTCAGAGAGCCTGGCAGTCCTTCTTCCCTAACAATAAAAGTGAGAGAGTAGGAAATCTGAAAATCTTAAGAGCAGAGTGAAATGCATGAGCATTTATTAAAGTTCATTTGTCAGTGATGCCCTCCTCTGAGATCTGTGGACTGTTACATTTGTACGTTTGTGCTGAAGTTGGCAGTGAAAGGCGATATTCTTATAGTTGAGACCAGCTGGTGACCTCAGAGTAGCTCACAATATTCAAAGGCCACACAATAGCAATACTTGGAAATAGAGCTTATGGTGAACCCAGATGCAAGGAGCCTCTATGGAGAGATGCCACGTTGCTCAGCTTACCTGAGTGAAGCAGTGGACATTCCAGAGATCATTAGCTTAATGGTGTCAGGGAGGCCCACCAACTTCATCAGGCTCTGTATACATTCTGACATTTACTGTGGTGATTATGTACGTTACGTGATTAGACTTTTTATGGAGAGATAATTCTCTTTAATTCAATAAAGAAAATAACTTCTAATTTTATGAAATACAAATAACTAGCAGTATATAAATAAAGTAAAATAAAATAGCAATAAATATTCTTAATCTGTGTAAGATATAAAATTCATAGGTTGATTCATGGGAAGATACACCTGGATAAATGTACACTGTAGCTCTACAGTGCTATCATCTGTATTTAATATCCCCCCCCTAAATTTATATTTTGAAATTCTAGCCACCAAGGTGAGGGTATTAGAAGATCAGGGGCCACCTGCATTCAGATGACCATGTCACCAGGGCAGAGCTCTGCTGAACGAAATTAGTACCACTGAAAAGAACTTTTAGAGTTATCTCCTACCACATGAGGCTACCGATGACAAAGTAGATGAAGAAGCAGGACCTCAGTCTACACAAGTGGGTGGGCAAAGGGTCATTGTGTCT